CATCCCCCATCTGGCAACCCCCTGATGTATCTTTTGGATGGGAGTGGGTGGCCGCGCCGAAAAAGTGGTCAATTTTTTAAACAACATTTATCAAACAAAAACAAGTGTTTTAGGGCCTAAATAAGGCATTTTTTCACCATTTGAGAAAGCATAAAAGGGGGGGGGGGGGGTGAAAAAGGCGTAGAAAGGCGTATATATCTGGTAATGGGTTAATAGAAACTGATGAAAAAAAAACGAAATTACCCAAAAACGCGTTTTTCCATGTTAAAACAAGGCCTCACATATAATTTTGAAGAAAAATTGCTGTTTTGTAGATTTTGATTTTTTTCATTAATGCGGTATGTGCATCGAAAAAAAGCTTATTAGCAACATGCAGCTACAATACAAAAAGTTATGATTTAGTATCACAAAATTTCACTATAAATAGAGAAATGAACATGAAAAACTTCATTTTTATTTGTTTGGGTCGTCAGACCAAACAAATAATGGTAGCGAAATTTCAGAGTCTAATGTTGCTAATTGCAAATGCCGAAAGTAGTCCACTTTTTTGAGCGGTTACTTCCCTTTTGTATGTACACTAAAGCCGAAAAATTCAGGGGAGATCACTGCGTAAAGATGGTCAAAGACAGGCGCATCAATTTTCAAGCAAAGTCATTCCCGAATGGTCGAAGATTTCTAATATTGTTTTATTGTATTTTCTGATCGAAAATAACTAAATACAAAGCGGACATTCAATCTCTGACACAGAAGTTTACGACAAACCTAACAACAAGTAGTTCTCAAAACAGCTTAAAACTAGCGATTTAACAGAAAGAAATATTTTATTTTGTTACAAGTATCCAACAAATTACAACGCATTTAAAGTTAAACAATAGCGTTGGCTTATAGAATTGTCAATAAATGCACAATCACAAATTACGCGGATGAATATGATTTTTATCAATGAAAATACTATTTTTAGCCATGTAGATTACCGAATACTACACAAACCGAGTAGTGGAATATATAGATTCTACATGTCGGACTGTTTGGGCGAGAGGTTTTTCGCTAAAAATATTTACTTCAATTTTAAACAACAGGTTTATCCTGAACAAAATACCTCGAAATTAATAAGGATTACAAACCTGAATGCAATGGAAGTTCTAAATTTAGAATGACTTGATATTATTCAGACATCCTGTGTATAACTTCTCCGTGGTACAGTGGTAACGCGCTCGCTTAGTGAGTGATAGGTCTCGAGTTCGAATCCCAGTCGAGGAATTTTTTTTTTTTGTTAAATTCTTTTTTTAAGTGTTTTTGTTAAGGAAGTAGCCATGATATACAAGGATAAAGTGTGGCTGTCGTAAAAAAAGTACATAAATGATTTTTTGATGCAACTCTAGTTATGCAGAATTCCGTATGTGCCTTACAAAATGAATTATAATACATAAAAATAAACTTATACAGGAAAATGCATACAGATATACAGTACGATTTAGATTGCAAAGATCAGAAAATACCACAGAACTTGCAGCCCTTTGATTCTTTATAAATATACATGCTTATAGTAAGCTTCAGGATTATTTACATCTGTGTTAAACAACAGTTAAAAGTCGTTACAAGCCCTAATTTAGAATAATATGGTTTTCTTCAGGCCGTTCACATATAAATTTAACCGTGGCTGAAGGGTTTTCGGGCTCGCTTAGGAGCGAGAGGTCTGGAGTTCAAATCCCAGTAAAGGTAACTCATTTTTTTAAAATTGTTAAAGTCAAATAAACATTGGATTGAATATCAGTGTTGCAATTAGTCTTATAGCCAATTTACTACAACTAAAACGCTGGAAAGCATTGGTGGCACTAAACATATAATCTCACAACCTGCACCTTTCTTACATTCTGAGACCCAAACAAATTCAGCGCCTTCTGTGCTTTGATTCTATATTCATGCATGTGTGTCTGTCAGTTACATGCATACAATACTATATGTATACAATACTGTATGTATCTTAAGTTTAGCAGCGCACTCCCTTTTTAAGACATAACGCCAATTGCATATTACAGCAAGTAATTTCTTTAAGTGGATATTCATTTGCTAGCATATGACATTATTTTCTCGAGGTAATAATGTTCATAGCTTTATGACAAATAAAGGCTGAAATTTACTTAATCGGCGCAGATTATAAATTATAAAATTGATGTAATAAAGGGGAGACTATTAACCTCGCAACTGGCATCAGTGTATCATAAAACAATGTATGTTAATGTAAAATGGAAAGATAATATTATTGACAGTTCAAATATTTTCCTATATTATCAAGTTCTTGAAAAACACGACAATGTGGATTCATTTCTTTAAATTTTCATGTCTGTAATAGCGTTAATTGTAGTTTGCCTTTGAATTACATTTACTATGCTAAACTATTAACAACAGTTCTAACATCACGTGCTCCCATCTAACTATATGTTTTTTTATTCATTTTAGTTGTAACCATGACAACTTATTAAGATGAACCTTTCGATGATTCATATCACTTGATAAAAATAAATCCTGTATTTATAGGAAAAAAACTAGAATTTTTTGATTTGTTATATTCTTTTTCTCTTTTTTTACCTTTCAATTCATATGAACAGTTCAAGCACACATGCATGAATATAGAAAAATGAAGTTTTTCATGTTCATTTCTCTATTTATAGTAAAATTTTGTCGTACTAAATCATCACTTTTTGTATTGTAACTGCATGTTGCTAAAAAGCTTTTTTCGATGCACACACCGCATTAATAACTTTTCTATCTTGAGAAAATATTAGAAATGATAGTTTAACGTCTCAATTCCGACTAAAAGGACGCAAAGAAAAGAGGAATTGATAAAAGATTGAACTTGATTTTCTGTCAGAATGTTAGCCACTTTCATGGTATTTCTGCCATCGACGGCAGCATTTATAATATGTATCTGCCTACAACAGCAGCATTTTTTCTTCGACCGGACAAGATTGAGCGTCTGTAAAACTTTCAAGAAAAGACTAACGGGGTAGATATTTGGCTTGCGTGACCCCAATGGATGAACGTCTATATTGATAACAGGAAATCCTGCCATTTACTTAAAACTTGAGATATTTTGAACAGAAAACAGACATTTTCACGGATTTTTTCCAAGGCTGTCACTTTTAACCTGCTCAAAATAGTCTTAAAACAGGAAAAAACGAGTCCAGAATTACCTTACAGTATCTCCATTCAATGGACAATAGTTTTATAGCAATGATATGGGCCGTATTTGTGTAATATAATTAAACCAACCAAATTTATAACCTACCTGTACCGATCGGTAATTTTCAGATATCTGCCATCACTGCAGTGATCTGCCATCACTGCCGCCGGTAATACGGTGTGTAGAATTCAAAATGATAATACTGCAGATATAGCAAACCAGGATTATTCAGGATTTTTTCATTTGTACGGTTATTCAGTTTAAACTGTATCTCCCTCATATCTCCTATATCTAAGGTTGAACAAAACAAAAAGTAGAGTCGAAAGCAAACAAGTTCATATGGTCGATTTAAAATAAACGTTAAACATATTCTGTGTTATGTACACGTAAATATTAGCGTAGTGGTAGATCGTTTGCTTTTTGAACTAACGATGCGATTCATTTTTCTTTCTTTTTTTCCAATTGCAAATATATTTGCGAGTGAATAGTTCTCAGGAATTCTTATGTTGACATTGCGTTCAGAATAACTAGCTGTTTCATTTGAGTAGGAGCCATACTGATTGAATTACTGGAGATATAAGTTTGCTTTTTCTTTAAAAATTTTTTATATGATTGACTTTACGTAAACAGTCAATTCTATGTATTATGTTTCACCATAAACATTATAAAGATGATTTCATTAATAAGATTATTATGAGAGCATAATATCCTATTGAGAAAATACATTCGACGCTGTTTGAGTGACAATAAATATTCTTATCATAACTTGATATTTGACTGTGTGTTTCTTTGACTGCTTGGTGTCTTAACGATTGTCCTGTGTAGCTGGGGCTGGGTTTAATTTATGATGCTATGTCTTGTTGATCTTTGTTTTCACTAGTTTCTAATCATATATTTAGGCACCCTTATTTTTCACTTAAATTTGGTAATATAATCATTTTTATCGACATGCGAATAAGTTTTAATGTTTGCCTCAAAACAGCATAATGTTATTCTAGAAATTTGTTTATTTATGTCATTACTCCAACGTTATACCGAAAAAAAAATTTTCTGACCAAAATGTCTCTTACAATAGTTTTGCTCTGCGTTAGTTAAAAGTATGAACATATTTATATTGATGGTAAAAAAAATTCAGTGTTACCAAAATGCAGCAAAATTATGTATTCTCTTCATTTTATACATGCTTTAAAATACTCTAGAATTCAGCTGTGGCAATGTAGATTTTCAAAAAAAAAAAAAATCGTGGGAGCATGTCCCCGGGCTCCCTTACACTAGCTATATATAGAACCTACACATTACTTTCTTTGAATAACTCTTTTTATCTTCTTCGTAATTTTGATATTCTTCTCTCTTTCTTAAACAGAAAAAGAAATCACAAAAAAATGAGTTTTATAAAAATACAATTAAATTCTGTTTTAACAATATGTACACTGTATAATGACACATCAAGTGTTTCAAATAGTCATACCTTCTTTATTATTCCTACAAATAAGGCGTTGGGCACTGTACGTGTTGAGAGCAATATATTAGGCTAAATACTTTCTGACTTTTTACTCTTTTTTAGCGTCATTTGTCACTACGGCAATGAGTATTCACTTATTCAGAACATATAACATTCAATAATTTTCCAAGAAGATATTGTGTAATCTGGAACTAGAAGATTTGAGTATTTTGGAACCCTAGTTTCTACAACACATTAAATTCTAAGGTATTTCAGACTAGTTTTATAGGCGTGAAGGAAATCACCTACTAATTGGTATTAACATAATTTACTTCCGCCACACCTGAAATTGTAATTATTACAGGTAGTATTTACAACGGTGCACCGTTATAATGACAGATGCTTGTCAAATTGGAATAAATTAGTTATTATTTGACTTTAAAATGCTTCTAGACAACCAGAAGATGGCTGCTAACATCCAGTTTGAGAGATGGACAGCCGACCAAGTTGCAGAATGGTTACGAGGTAAACAAAGATGCGCGTATAATGTATACCGATACTTTGCTTCCTTGTCAAGAACCGTCCCCATTATTTTTCGTACCAATGTTTGTAAGATAAACACCTCTCTGTAACTTCTCAAAGGTAAAAGTTATGTGTTTTTTTAGTTCGACATTTAAATTGAACGTAGGCAAAGCCTATGAACTGCTTAGCGGCACCGACCTTTGACTTCTCAGTATAATTACATGAACACTGATGAAAGTAGCCTATGAAATTATGGGGAAATCAGATAAAAGAAAAATGATTTTACATTTTTTGTTTTAGAGGCATCATTCTGTATTTCATGCATCACTTCCGTTTTCAATCAAAACACCTCGGTAATTTTTTCAAGGCAAAAAGTTGTGATTGTACCTTTATCACTGTTTATTGGATACACTGATTATCATTGAGTTACATTTAAAAATGGTGGCACCCAGCTTGAAAGGACACTAGGTAAAATCTCTATGTTTCAGGTCTGGATATGGATGATGCCATGATTCCATACATGCACTATTTCCTCAACAGTGGAGTGGATGGCAAGAAGTTGATGTTAATGACGCATGCTGATTTGGAGAAATTAAACGTGACAAAGTTTGGTCACCAAGAGCTCATACTTGAAGCTATTGATCTACTAAGAAACCTTGTAAGTTGACAGACCTGGGGATGATTACATTGATCAGTAATTGATTAAATTACAATTACTTTAAGATTTTATTGTAATTGATTAAGACTGATTACTCACACTTGCCTCTGTAATCAATTGAATTACAATTACTTTAAGAGAGTAATTGATTGATAATTGATTTACATTGAATATACATAGACCACCCAGAATTAAGAACCACCCGCTATTAAGACCATTTTTAACGAGATTCTTTAACTCAACTCCAGTATTTAATCACGGTACCCTGCTTATTCACTTTTCAGACCCACCATAATTATTCAGTCCAAATTTTTGTTTTTAATTTTAATGTGACTATTGAGACCACTGATATTAAAGTCAAACACCTATCTAGATCTTAAAATTTGTTACTGTTATGATCTGCTTGAATGCTCTTTAGCATGACACTTGATTTTCACAAGGTGTGAAAAAACTTATTGTTATTATTGGGTTTTTTATGTGAAATTAATTGGTGAGAGGTTCAATTTTAGAGTGGTACAATTTGTTTGCTTTCAGCAACATTTATTTTTTTGAAAAATTAAAATTTTCAATTGATTTATGTATTATCATAATAAGCGATTAAACTGTTAAAAATGAACGTTAAATTTCTCCAGAAATGTGTTTTCCTTTTATCAGATTAAATATCAAAGCATTCTTTGATATTTCTTTTATAATGTATTGTAGGTACATGTAAATATACATATAGTTTATTCATACGAAAATGACTAAAGTAGCCATGGTCTTAAAGTCTGTAAAGCAATGATAAGAATACTTTCTACTTTGTTTCAGTCTAAATGGTTGGTCTTAATTGAGGGACTTTTTACTGTATAAAAAAAAAACACAAAGTTAAACTGTATAATGTAAAATAAAGGCATTAGTTACTCTCTCGAATTTAGAAATAGTGGAATTGTGAAAGTAATCAATGTCAATCAGAAATTGTAATCATTATATTTACTTGACTTGAATTGAGCTCCGGTCAATTGGATTAATTACGAGTTAATGTAACAATTGGCAAGGGTATATTCCATTAATAGTGTGATGATTTATGCAGTGTAATTCGGATATGTGGTTATTGTTGTTTCTGAATTTATAATTTATCAATGTATTTTATCTAGTTAATTTGGATTGTTCTATCTCCTAGGTCTGGTGATAGTGTTAATTTCTAATAAAATCCTATTTCGATATCATAATTATATTGATGTTTGGTCTTGTCAAGGTTGATTAGGTCTAATGATTATCAAATAGTCATAATTGTAAACAAGGATAGTGTATTGGAATTGTAACACATTGCATCACATCTATTACATTTTGTAAATGAAAGTTTATAAAGTTAATCTTGTTCATATGTAACTTTTTTGGTTTGTCTTGCACACATTATGTAAAATTATAAATTTGTGTGTCTATCTTTTATTTGTTTATGCCAATTTTGAATTAGTTCTATTTGCGGATGTTTAGGGTTTATTTTGTCGATGGTGATTTATTTTGATTTTATTACCTCTTTTGACTTTTGTGGTGTAAAATTATTTGTTTATTTTGGGTTACATTTTATTTCTATGTTTGTAAGCAAAAAATTAAAAAAATAATTTATAATAGGAGTAGTTTCAATTAATACATGTTATTGGTGATCTATCTTTTAAATATATTCTAAAGTCGTCATCTGTTCAGGGCTTAGGCTAATGAAGTTGTTTAGCTTGCTCTAGCTTTACAATTGAATATTGAAAGTTAAATTTGTCTGTTATGAGAAAGTTGTTATCTGTGATTTTTGTTGCTAGAGATTGGATGGTTTACTGAGACTGAGAATTTAGACGCTTATCTTGTTGGTCTGCAGTTGGTGTTTGTAAAGCTCGCAGTCTGAATGGTGGATGTACGTGCTCGTACTGGTCTGAGTAATGACCTTGGTAATCGCTGCTAAAACATATTCATCTTCTGGTGACAGTCGATTTAACGTTGTTGTTCATGTGGTGTGATTGTCTATCTGTTTGCTGATTCTCTTGTGGTTATCATTAATAAGCTTGGTGGGCTGGAATGGATAGTAGGTGTTTCTTAATAGTTAAATGATTGTTCCTATTGTCAAATCAAAATATTTCTAAATACTATTTATCACTTATTTGAACATTTAACAAAGTTGCTCTTATCATTATTATTACCTGATTATTGTCTACTATGGTTTCCTATTGTGTATTGTGTTATTTGTTATTGATTGTATTAAGTTCGATTTGATTAGTTCATATTGTAAATGTTGGTTTACATCTGTTCAAGATTTGGATTCATGTTTTTGACTTCTAGTCAAATTTATGGATACAGTGCATTTGTATTAATTCGAGATATTTTTAGATACATCTGATATGTCAATGTAAACTAGTAATTAATATGTGGATAGCATTATATTTCTTTGAACGTATTTCAATTCTATTATTTTCCTTTTGTAATATGTGTAGTCTATCACGTAAATTATCGTTGGTTAATTATTATAGAAACGATAGTTAATTGATAGTTCTCTTCAATTTTATGCTAGAGAATTAAAATTTAATTTGACTTTGGTTGGATTTTGAAATTTTAATGAGTGCATAAGGAACTTGCTAAAAAATAATTTAAATTATGTTATATTTCATTATATATTCTTTATTTGCTTTTTTAGGCTACTTCTGTTTTGTTGTTGATTTAGTGTTTGTTCATTGTATTTGCTCTGTAGAACATCTACATATGTTGAAACGTGAAGCTTGACTGTATACATGTGTCAGGAAGGGAGATCTTAGGTATCTGAATTAGGAGTTTATAACCTGACTACAACGTGTATTAGTTTTATCCACTTCTTTATCAAGGTCCTTGAATGTATTATTGTTGTTTTGATTAGGTATATATTAGTATATGTAAGTTATGTTTTGGTTTACTGTATGAAGAAAAATAGGTATATTTTGTATTGTATGTTTGAATGTCGTCTCGGTCTGACAAAACCCAATCGACTATATGTGGTTTTGCGACCACAGGGGATTCAGACCATGCTGGCGCCGCATGTGCAGGTCGCTGTGTATCAGGGATTTTCCATTGCTGTGTCGTTTACGGAATCTATTATTTCATTAGTAGAATTGAAGATTCTGATTAGCTGAGACAGTTATTCCTGATGATCAGTACGGGCGTGATTGCGCAGGCTGCTCTGGAGTCGCAGTGCGTGGTTGCAGATTGCGACTTATTGTTGGTTTTGTTGTTTGAGCGGGCGGGCTTTCGTTATAGGTGTTGGATAGGAAATTTTAGAGTGTACACTTTATATTCATTTGGTTTTAAGAGTTTTAGTGGCGTGTATAAAGTGTTTTTATCTGCTGGCATGTTTCCTACTGCTTCTACTTTATGTGAAATAGTGTTAGAACAAGGAGTCTTACCTACTTTTCGGTCTTTCACCGATTGGCCCTAGGTGCTGATATGAGTGCTGGACTGTTTGCTACTTTTCGTTTTTTCTTGTATCAGCGTCTAGTTGTTTTGGATTTTAAAAGTTTTCTTAAATGTAAATGGTTTTTGTGTTCAGAAACTGTCAATTAGAGTTTTATTTGTCATAGTGAGGTTTAATTATAAGTCATTTGTATGGAAGATAATTCTTAACATAGACATGTGGTTGATGTTAGATTAAATAATTTTTTGTTGTGATTATCAAAGATTTTTTAAATAAGTTTATTATGCTTCAAGGCCAATAATGGGTAGATTCTCTAAAGTAATATGTTTATATGTTGATATGGTCATTTTATTTGTTACTTTCTGTCTAAATTACATTATCTAGTTATTATTTGTGTAGGTAAGATGTTGATTTGGTTTTTTTTCCCAGAAAGTGGACCTGGACCTGTGTGTGTCCCTGTATTCTATCTGCAGATCATCTTGGAAAGGTGGCAACCATCAGGAAAAGCAGGAGAACGATCCTGTGGGTGGTAGGATTAACATTTTATTGTCTTGAATTGCATGGACTTAGTGAGGAGAAATTAATTAGAAAGATTATAGTTGTCCTGCAGGGTAAGTGGTAAGTACATAAGTCTACTGAATCTCGTTTGTGTTTTCTGCAATATAATACTTGTCTTCTGGCGCACTGTATTTAATAAGTTGTGTAATTTCCTTAATTTTGGCGTTATCTGTTTGACTGGATATTATAATACTGGTAGTAAAGGGACATATATACATAACAGTGGACTAGGTGTAACATGTGTGGTGTGTAGTTGGATTTTGATAGGTTTATATGCCTTGTTTTATGTAAAACAGTTGACATTTCAAAGTTCATAGTTATTTTAACAATGTGGCTTAGCTTGTATGATTAGTTCGGCATGTACGTTATTATTTGTAAAGTGAATTTTATCTTTTGATAGGAATGTTATATTTGATTATAAGAATTAGACGGATATGGTCGAGTAATAGCATTTGTGATTGAAAGTATGATATTTATTAAAATGTTTTGTTATTTGTTGGTTTTATTCGTTTTTTTGTTTTGAGCTCGATATTTTTTGTTTTCTCTTGGATGAGTTTTATCTATTAGGTAGATTCAAATAGTATCTCTCTCTGTCTAGTATTTGTCATATGCTCTATAGCGTATCTGGAGGTATTGGTACTCTGGGCTTTTGAATTTATTTTGTTCTGTGATTGTGTTACATATTGGACCCAAAATAAATTGTCTATTTTTATTCGATAACAATGGTTCAATTATAATTTATGCGGGTTAATTAGTAGTAAATTAAATTAATGTTTGTTTTTATTCAGGGGAGTTTGGTGCAGTCATTACAATCATCATACTATGTGGTCCATAGTGATCAGTAGAATAAAAGATATGGTAAGTTGATGAAAATGATTATTTATTATTATTGCTAACAAGTGGTTGATCCTATAGGTGTAATATAAGGTCCAACGATCTTCGACTGGCGTCCATGACCTCCTGCATTTGCTTTTTCTGAGACCTTTGTTTGATGACAAAATGGCTTATAAGCATCTTTATTGTTTCAATCTGAGAAACTGGCAGAATTGGCAGCGAAACAGGTTTATACAACATTAGTATTCGGAGCTTCTTGCTGAGGTCAAGAGCCTACATATTCTGAAAAACTGGTTGAAGTTTTATTACAAAACAGTCATAACTTCAGGATTTAACTATATCAAGAAGTATTAGAAACATATTTAAGAAGTTTGAATTTTGGCCAACATCAGAAGGCAACATTCAAGTTTGTAAGCAAATTAAAATTTTATTAAATTCATATTCTTATGATAAGTAATTAACTTGATTATTTTCAGTCACCAAGCAGTATTTATGTGGTAAAATGAGAAAGGAGACGAGGTGATACAGGTCAATAGTCAAATTGTGGTAAGTTATCTCCCTTTAATCTGGACAGATATAGCATTAGACTGCATATTAAAGTTTACTGGTTAAGAACAGTTCAATAGAAAAACTAGTTAACGTTCATAAATTGCATTTGCTCAAAGTATTACCATACTTGTTCCTTTTTAGCTCGACTTTTCTATGAAAAGGGGAGCTATCCTACTCGCCCCGGCGTCGGCGTCGGCGTTGGCGTCACACCTTGGTTAAGTTTTTCGTACCACCCCACTTTATTTCAGAAGTATTACAAGTATGGCTTTGAAACTTAACCATATTGTTCACCATCATATTACTCCATTATCTATCAGACAAGTAGTACATAACTCTGTCAAGGTTTTTGACAGAATTATGGCCCTTTTTGACTTATGAAAGTGTATTTTGAGCTTGGTTAAGTTTTTTGTACCACCTCACTTTATTTCAAAACCATTGGAGGTATTGCTTTGAAACTGACCATACTTGTTTACCATCACGACCTTCATCAACAGACAAGAGGACCATAACTCTGTCAAGGTTTTTTGACAGAATTATGCCCCTTTTTGACTTAGAAAATACATTGAATATGGGTAAATCCACTTATTGCCTTAACCCTTTGAGATATTGCTTTGAAACTTTTAATGCTATTTCACATCATTACCCCCATCTGTACGCAAGAGAAGGTAACTCTGTCAAGGATTTGTTTTAAAAATTAAGGCCTTTTATCGACTTAGAATCTTGGTTAAGTTTTTAGTACCAGTCCACTTTTTTGACTGAACTGTTTGAGATATTAATTTGAAAGTTGGAATACTTGTTTACAATCATGATTCCCAAACATGTCCAGGAGAAGGTAATTTTCTGTCAAAGATTTTATTTGAATTATGGCCCTTAACTGTCACTAAATATCTTAATGCTCATGGCCATTGTTCACTTTAAAAATACAGAGATTCTTGTATTGCTTTTACTTGCAAAAACTTTTTTTTATTGGCAAGGCATAAAAAAGTCGAGCGCGCTGTTACGGACAGCTCTTGTTTTAAGCTCACCTGTCACAAAGTGACGGAGGGTGAGGCTTTTGTGATCGCGTTTTCGTCCGTCCGGCGTCGTAAACTTTTACTTTAAAATGACATCTCCTCATAAACCGCTGAGCCAATTTCATCCAAACTTCACAGGAATGTTCCTTTGGTGGTCACCTTTAAAAATTGTTCATAGAATTTAATTCCATGCAAAACTCTGGTTGCCATGGCAACAGATAGAAAAAACTTAAAATATCTTCTTTTAAAAAAGCCAAAGAGGTAGAGCTAAGATATTTGGCATGAAACATCTTCTAGTGAGTGTCTATCAAGTTTGTTCAAATAAAAGCCCTGGGGTCAAAATTGGCCCCACCCCGGGGGTCATTGTTTTTCCCTATATGCATATAGTAAAAACTTTAAAAAATCTTCTTTTAAAGAACCCAAAGAGCTAGAGCTAAAATATTAAGCATGAAACATCTTCTAATGGGTGTCTAACAAGTTTGTTCAAATAAAAGCCCTGGGGTCAAAATTGGCCCGGCCCCAGGGGTCATTGATTTTCCCTATATGCATATAGTAAAAACTTATAAAATCTTCTTTTAAAGAACCTTAAGATCTAGAGCTTAGATATTTAGCATGAAACATGTTCTAATGGTTGTCTACCAAATTTGTTCAAATAAGAGCCCTGGGGTCAAAATTGGCCCTGCCCCGGGGGTCATTGATTTTATTTATGTGTATAGCAAAAAAAAAAAAAATCTTCTTTGAAAAAAACCCAAATAGCTAGAGTTAAGATATATAGCATGAAACATCTTCCAGTTAGTGTCTTCAAAGTTTGTTCAAATAAACGCCCTAGGGTTTAAAATTGGCCCTGCCGAGGGGGACATTTGATTTTCCTTATATGTGTATAGCAAAAACTTTTAAAATCTTCTTTCGAAAAAAACCAAATAGCTAGAGTTTAGATATTATGCATAAAACATCTTCTAGTGAGTGTCTTCAAGTTTGTTAAAAAAAAATCCTGGGGCAAAACTGGCCCCGCCCTAGGGTGTCATTGCTTTGAACTATATGTGTATAGTTTAAAACTTAAAAAAAATCATTTTTTAAAAAACTCAACGAGGTAGACCTTAGATGTTTAGCATGAAACATCTTGTAATGGGTGTCTACCAAGTTTGTTCAAATAAAAGCCCTGGGGTTTAAACTGGCCCCACTCTGGGGGCCTATATACAGGTGAGCGACTTCAGGGCCATCATGGCCCTCTTGTTTATCTAATCTAACATTATGATGTCCATGTTTCAGTTAAGAAATAGTGCCTTTGTTGTCAGAAGATAATACTAGTTGTAATCATCTTAAGTGTTCAGCTTACAGATGTTTTTTGTTTGAATTATCTACTAGAATGCTTTGTCTATAAATTAACTCAATTAAAAGAGCTATCAATAATTATTTTATAACTATTTATATTTGACATTTTAGGCAGGGTGGTCACTGACAAAACTTGTTAGTCTGTTGAAAGAAAATCCTAAGGAGGTCATTTTATTATTGAAGAAGCGTCCACGTCATATTAGCCCTTACGGACAGATGAAGAGGCCAAACATGATAAACAAACATACAACAGATTTCTCCACTCTACCTAAGTCAATAAAGAAGAGAAGGTCACAGAATGGCGAGGCAAAACAACTACGACCCTCTCTACAAGAGTTTGTCAACACAGTACCTAGTAATGAAGAGACAGAGGAACTGGATTCACCAAAGTATGTTATATTTTATTCTAATACTACAAACTGTTTTTTTTCCTTTGCCAAATCCATGGCAAACTACTGAGATACATTCTGACATTTAGTCAAAAAACAGATTTTTGGTCAGAGTCAGTGATTTTTCAGACTGACAGACTGTAATGGGGTGAGCTTTTGTGATGGCATGTTGTCTGAAGGATAATGGGTCCATCTGTACAGTAATTTTCATGTCCACTCACTAGCAGTATATTATGTAAGCAGTATGGATTTGCATGGGAAAATGGCATATTTGGTATACTTCAGGAGTAAAAATCCCATTTGTACGTTTGAATTATAGTGTTAAATTACTTTGGTTTTTAACCAGGTTTTACGAAGGAAAAAACTGGTTTTAGATTGAGGTATGTCGGCAGGCGGGCGGGCAGGCGGGCCGTAAACAATTTCTTCTGTGCGCAACTCCTTCTACATTTCTCAACGGATTTTTGACCAAACTTTCACAGAAGCTTTGTCATCAAGTGCCCTGGCGCATATTGTCGGGGTTTGCGATTGGATAATATTTGACCTAATTATGGCCCTTTGTTTTTTTTTCCTCATATAGAATATAAGTGAATAATTTTCTTCTTTGCGCAACTCCTCCTACATTTCTCAACAGATTTTGGACCAAACTTTCACAGAAAGCTTTTTCATCAAGTGCCCTGGTGCATATTATGGGGGTTTTTGCAATTGGGATAATATTTGACCTACATTATGGCCCTTTGTTTTTTTTTCCTGATATATAGAATATATAATGAAACAATTTCTTCTGTGCGCAACTCATCCTACATTTCTCAATGGATTTTGACGCAAACTTTCCCACAGAAATTTTGTCATCAAGTGCCCATGGGGCTTATTGTGGGGGTTTTGCGATTGGATAAAATTTGACCTAATTATGGCCCTTTGTTTTTTTTTTTCCTTATACAGAACATATAGTGAACAATTTCTACTGTGCACTAACGAACTTCTGCTACATTTCTCAATGGATTTTGTTCAAACTTTCACAGAAGCTTTGTTATCAAGTACCCTGGCGCATATTGTCGGGGTTTTGTGATTTGGATAATATTTGACCTAATTATGGCCGTTTGTTTTTTTCCTTATACAGAATTATCACTATACATAAAGTGAACAAATTCTTCTGTGTTGAACTCGTCATACATTTCTCAATGAATTTTTTTCAAACTTTCACAGAAGCTTTGTCATCAAGTTCCCTGGCGCATATTGTCAGGGTTTTGTGATTGGATTATTTTTGACCTCATTATGGCCCTTTGTTTTTTTTCCTTATACAGAATATATAGTGAACACTTCTTCTGTGGCAATTCCTCCTACATTATTCATGTTTTACATCGCACATAGTTACATTGTTTGTTGCTTGTATTTGTATTTCAAATACAACATATTTATCTACAATGGTGATAATTGAAAACCTGGTTTCATGGCATTGCCATGTTTCTTGTTTATATATTATATATGTTTTATTTGATTTGAACAGTCATGCAAACAGCTTATATCACCAGAAGATCATTCTATGTACATCATGTTGTCATTGTTGGACCAATCACTTTAGAAGGAATAGGCTGTATGTTATGTTATGCTACGTTGTATGGACATTGCCCATGGCTAGTAGATTACCCATACTGAATTTAGGGTCAATAAGGCCAAAGGTCAAGGTCATAGTGATATTTATGTAAAATCTTTATATGATCAATAACTTGAGAAAGAATAGGTCATAAGTTCTGTTAATATTGGCATTGCCCACAGTCAGTAGATGACCCCTATGGATTTTTAAGTCAAAAGTCAAGGTCACAGTGACAGTTAATGTAAAGTTCTTGTTGAGTTCTAGATTGGAATAATGACTAAGTACTAGACTTCATTGTTATCAGAATTGTTAATGAAGATGGTTAACACTTGGACAAAATAACACTTAGCACAAAACCTTACTCTTTTTCAAATTTTAACTGAACATTTTAATGCCCTAGACCAGCTAGACTCTTAGGTAATTGGTATTAAAGTAATTTGAATAAAAAAAAGGGGGCATTGAGGTCCTTAAAGCTAAGGTATATGTGGATAAACTATTCATCCTAACATCATGTAAAGCTGCTGTCAATGATATGTCAACCAATCTGATCCCCTAAAAGATTCCTGAATTAGATAGAAATTGTTTGCAGTATCAACATCAAAGTTGTGTAACAGTAACTTTATAACACAACTTAAATCTGGATAAAGTGTGATCCCTCAGAAGCATTGATTTAGCCAATGATAAACATATGAGCATCATGGCCCTCTTCTGTTATTTAAATCCTCATCTTTTTGTTGGGCTAATATTGTCATCTAGTCAACAACTATCACCAGGCTCAAAATCTTTGACAAGTTAGACAAGCAGAGTACCCTATTCATAAAGAATAATTACAATTTCTTCATGGAAATGAAAAATCACAATTTTTTCTTATAATAAAAATATTCACCTTAATACTTTTCTATTTTGTGCATATAATTTCATAGCTAACATTTTATTGCATAATGTGTATTGATCATTGAAGAGTAAATATCGCAGAATGCTAGGTAAAAAAGGGTGTAAATTTGTTTGTGATGGCCATTCATAAAATCGTTCAATAAGTAGAGGCATTTAATAGTCTAGAAAAATAATAATCATGACTTGGGCATATTCACCAACTAAACAGCTTCATCTTTGGTGATCAGACATCAAGTATCCCTCTATCAATATTCCTTGAAATTCAGTCAGTTTGCTTATCAATAGTCAGCATTATGTAAATACAGTTATAAAACAGACTACCACGTATGGTATTTATACTTGGATAAAGAGAAGGGATGTGAAGAAAGTTTGTTTAGTAAACTAACAGTGCTGATATACTAAAACTTGACCTTGGACTTCTGTGTCTTTGTTCTACCATGAGACCACTGTTCCCCTTACGAGTGAGCTGCTTATTTTATTAAGTAGCTTATTTGAATAAAATATGTGTTAAATGTTTTATTTACTATTTGAGCCGCGTCATAACAAAACCAACATAATGCGTTTGCGATCAGCATGGATCCATACCAGCCTGCGCAGTCTGATAAGGATCCATGCTGTTCGCTTACAAACCCTATAACAAGTAGAGAAACTGATAGCAAACAGCATGGATCCTGATCAGATGCGCAGGCTGGTCTGGAACCATGCTGGTCACAAATGCATTATTTTGGTTTTGTCATGGCGTGGCTCATTTATTTAAGCTTGATTGTAACAAAAGCTTGACACTTAAGTCATTCACATGCTTCTTAAACTAATCAGTAGTGATGTTGTATGTTGAAACGTTTGCATTACTACTGTTTAATTGAAACCATATAACTGGTGTTGGTTATTAAACAGAGGGTATGTCAAAATTATCTAAAAACGTATTGTTAAAGTGGAATGGTTTGCAACATTTTAATGCTGGCAATTTTGGCAACTTAATAAAAATCCTGGGGGTGGGGGGAGGGACTGCATCTATTTCATCATTTTAAATTCTTTACTGATCAAAAAACCTCTCTAAAGGAATTTTTTTACAAATGTTATTCTTATCCCTTAATCAAGATGAATCATTGGTTTGCCCGACTGTCATCACCCATGTCTAACAAATACTGTTATTGTCTGAAAATATTAACATGCCTATTTTGCGTATGTTGTCTCTTGGTTGAACATACTATTTTAAAACTGGATCATCCCTGCTATTTATCTGTTCCTTTATTATTCCATTGTGGGTGTATGTATATACTAACTACAGGTAAACTTCGTTTGCTTGAACTCGGATCGCCCAAATACCTCCCTTCGCTGGAACACATTGCCCAGTCCTGGCAAAATTTCTATATAATATATATTGGTCTACCTCTGATCGCTCGAACACCGATCGCTTGAACTCTCGAACCTGATCTCTGGTCCCTTCGGTAGAAATATAGTTAAAATCACACCTTTTCGGTCAAACACTGGTCGACATGTTCTAAATAAGTGACAGCCAGCGACACATGTTTTTTACACCTCGTGATCGTGATAAAGGCAATTAAGGTTAATTGATGCAACATTAGAGGTGTTGTAACCGATTTTGTTTGTTTATTTGCTGTCTTTATTAAAGATAAAAAGAAAATAACTTGTGAAATAAGTGAAATGTGCAAGTCAATAAATAGATGACGTTTACCCGGACGGCTTTAATTACTGCCGTAGTGCATGTAACGTGAATATCTATAGAATGATACTTGTAATTGTGTTTATTTTAGTAAATGACTACAAATAAATGCTGCTGTTAAATTTTTTTTTTATAAATATTTAATTAAATTCATTGTTTAATGAAAAAACTTTCGTAAAAGTTTTCTCAGCAGCTACTTATCACAGCCTCTTGATATTTGGCATACAGCATTAACATGTGGTCCCATACGTGGAATTCGATTTCAGGTCTGTCGCTCATCCACTTCCTGTTTGCCAACTTAGTTAAATTTTCGACATTAATGGTCAATGGTAGGAAATTTTCGTAACAGTTTTCTCAGCATCTACTAATCCAACCTTTTGATTTTTGGTATACAGCATCAACACATGGTCCCATACTGTGGGATTTGATTTCAGGTCTGTCGCTCATCCACTTCCTGTTTGCAGACTAAAATTAGTTAAATTTTCAAAATTAATGGTCAATAGTAGGAAATTTTTGTAATAGTTTTCTTAGCAACTACTTATTACATCCTTTTGATATTTGGTATACAGCACCAACACATGGTCCCATACTGTGGGATTCGATTTCAGGTCTGTCGCTTATCCACTTCCTGTTTGCCGACTTAGTTAAATTTTTGACATTTAAATGATCAATAGTAGGAATTTTCATAACAGTTTTCTCAGCAACTACTTACCACAGCCTCTTGATATGTGGTTCACAGCATTGACATGTGGTCCCATGTTGTGGGATTCCATTTGAGGTCTGATGCTCATCCACTTCAGGTTTACCGACTTGGTTAAATTTTCAACATCA